TATATATATATATATATAAAAAATATATAAATAAAACAACCGCTTGCACAGACAGTTGCTGTCAGTCAGTCTTTCTGTTTTAGATCTACATGCAAGTACATCCATGTTTTGTTTTGTTTTCCCACACCCTCCAGCAGACTGAATTGCAAAACAAATACTCTGGACTGTATGTAAACACTTCTGCCTGTCTCTACCCTATAATTAATTAATAGAACCGTACAGAGCAGCCAAATTATACCATGCCCTGTCCTGTTTGCAGAAATATCTGCTTAGCATCTGGCCAATTTGTAAGTGCCGTTATAATGCTTACTTGATATTACGTCCACATTTTGGGGTAAAAATGTGTTGTACACTGAAAAACACTTGAGTACAATAAATTCTTTTCTGATTGCTCACTTTAATGTACTGGACTTCACTTTGATCTGAGCTAGTTCAAGAACCAAGCTTTGCAACTGTGTGCTGTTTAGCTGAGAGACATCTCAAGTTCATGCTGACTCCTGCAACACTCTGAAGTGTGAATACTAATGTGCTGACTGGAGTAGAGATGCCTCAAGTCAGCTGTGTGCAGCCAGTTGACTGGGTGTTAGTAGTTGTGCGTAAACTTCATGTTTTTAAAGCCAACTTCCACCCCTCACCCACTGTACTCATAACAATGGGTCTTTGTCATCATTTGAAATTAAGTCAAACTGGATTTTTAGCTGACCTTCAAAAATTATGTAAAAAATACTTTTGAGTCATTCATCACAAGATCACACATCTATGCAATGACTTCTGTGCACATTTTCAGTTGTTCCACAACAAAGATGTTAATGAATATAGATACACAATCATTGTCCAAGAGAACTCCATGAGTTTCTTTGTCCTATTATTTACTGCTATAATAAAAATGAAGCAGTTGTGGTTTCATTATTTATCCAGTTTCTTAACTATTACATTTCAGGGTTATGAAGTAATGACTCTATGTAAGCTGTCAAAATCTAGTGGGGGGAAAAAAGCATTTTCTTTATTGCTGGCACATTGGTTTGAAAATTACCATATGCTGTTAGTGCTTTGTGCTGCAGCTGGTGTGTTTATTTACACTGGCCATTGTCTGTAACCTAGCCTGGGGTCTTCGCTGTCAACCGGTTCTTCCAGTTTGGTCTTCATTAGGGAGAGAGAGAGACAGAGGGCGTGAGCTGGATAGGCTGGGATCAGCACAGATATTTGTATATGAGCTGTGACAAACAAATGAGATGTAAAGAGCAGGCAATGGTTACAACAGGATCATATGCTTTTAGTGCTTTTGATAATGTATGACCTTTTATATTAGCTGAATTTAAATGAACAGTTGAGTTTTGCATAAATTTTAATAGTATATTGAAGTACTGACATCTACAGTACCTTGGAGATTACACAATATTTGTTTTTGTTCAGTTTTACATCAACTCGCAACGGAGTCACCTTAGTTACATTTTATACTGACTCTCTGTGTGTTAATCAACTCTGCATTGCTGGAAACTCCACCTGCCTCTGAAAGCTACCACCCGTTCATCCCCGCAGAGATCCGTAGCAGGGATATAGTATTATTAATGTATTTAGTAAGCAGTAACTGGGCTACAAGCAGTGTCCCAATATTCCTCGTTTGTTTTCTTGGCAATTTTGTGGTAGCAAATATTTTTATGATTAAAAATATTGCAAGTGCACATATAAATATGTTACAGGGATGAGAGGTGACCCCACTTGGCTTGTTTTTTCAGGTTTACATGAATAGAGTTCCTACGAAATTTTGATAAGATGTTATTTAAAACTCAGTGTTAAAAAAGCTGAAGAAATATTATTGGGAAAATCTTGAGTATGTGACAGAAATTGGTAGGTAAACCTTTGCATGCTAAACTGTAGTGTGTATCTGCTGTTTGTTAATTGAATTCAAAGTTACCAGTTGGCAGTTCTGTAGTATTTCTGGTTTTTCAGTTACATGTTTATTATCTTTATTCATGGCTATATCATGCCTTAATGCTGTGTTCTAGACCATATTATATTATCCATATACCGTATTTACTTTTTAGCATGGCAGAGAGTAATTTCGTGCCAGTCAATAAATAAGGAACTTGAGTCATTTCCACTCAAAGTCAGTCTGTTTCCTTAGACACAAAGTATACACACTGAATTGGGAAGTCATGTTTTTAAGATAGTGATTGAATTGTAGTTTCACATACTACACACTATCATAAACATATTATTTTATGTTGCATAAAACCTGTGGTGTTGTGGAGTCGATCATGCCTGAGGTGTGTAGGCTTGAAGTTTATACTTTCATGTGGCTTAATGAGCTTTGAAATGTATTTTTAAAAAATCCACTCTTGTTTTGGCTGCATTAATATCAGTGTTTGGTGTGTGTTCAGTGCTCCTCCTGATCCTGGTACTGTGTTTTCCTCATATCCTGCTGTGAGACACACAGTAATGTAGCTTGACATTAGAAGTGTTTGTAAAGTAACTGGATAACCTCACACTCCTGTCGCGCCGTCTGCTCTCAGCTCACTGCCGCCTCTCGTGTTTCTCTCTCTGCAGGATTCCTGAGTTTTGTTGCGATATATCTTCTGTTTGGATATGGAGCCTCACTACTCTGCAACCTGATTGGATTTGTCTATCCAGCATATTTCTCGTATGTATGACATCTGTTCAAAAAAATGTCCACTCTAATATATGAACACTTCTTTTAGAATCCAAAGTTCAATGTCAGCCCAACCCAAGACTGCTATTACTAATACTAATTATGGCTTTTTCAAGGTAGTCAGTCTGATAATACCAGTTTATATCTGTGTTACTGATGTGTTTTAGTGGCATGCTGCATTGTTAATCATTAAATATCCTTGATAAGCCTAGTGCTTTACCTGCCGTTACATGAAAAAAAGAACATGACAAAAGTCTATTTTGCCTCTTGTATTTAACAGACTTTTAGAGATTGCTGACCATTTCCTATTCTTTCAGTGTTATTATGAAAAGTGTTACACCCCAACCCAGGGAAAACTGGCGTGCAACATAAGAAAAATAAAAATAAGGAGAAATGCCCCCACACTCCCTGCTCTCAAGGAAAAATGGCTTCTCACGCCTACTAAGCTGCTGCAGTGAGAAAAAGTATCGACAACTATTTACATCTATATACGACAACTATTTACAACACGGGGGAGATCGCGACCTTGACAAACTGAAACACAGGGCTTAAATTTTTATTTAGAAAAGCATTTGATTAATTTCTTCTTATGCTGTTTTTATAGTTTTATTGTTTTACATTGTTTTATTTACTGTTATATTGTTTTTATATTCCCATTTTCTGTGTTGTAAAGCACTTTGTGATTTTTATCTGTGAAAAGCGCTATATAAATAAATTTTACTTACTTACTTTTTACTTAAATACATAGAGGGAGCAATCAGGGAATGGACAACAGGAGGGAAACACAGCTGGGGCAAATCAGAACTGACGAGACGAGGAAGCGTAAACTGAACACACTGAGATAAGACAGACCTTCAAAGTAAAACAGGAAACACATAACAGTCACGCCTACAACAAAACACTGACAACATCGAATCGTAACATTTCCCCCCACCCAAAAATCAAACATTTAACCCCAAATGAAATGTTTGATTCATGACCAGCGCATAAGGCACCGGTTGCTGTTCTGCAGGCGACGCTGATGGCTGGGTTAGATTAAATCAGTGTAAACATGCATTGCTTGCATGCTTGTGTCTATGTTGAAGCATGTATGGGGCATTGTAATTTCTTTACTTTTTACTGGCTGTAAAATTAGGTTTTTCTATCTGATTTTCTTTCCTACAGGATTGTTTCTTTGTGTAACTGAAGCTCAATAAGACAATAATGCGGGAAAAGAAAAAGCTTTACTAAAAAAGGCTACATTGGAAAATAGGTTTGTCTAACTTTGCTAAAGAATTTATTTTTACATAGAAGAATTTTGGTGTGGGATGATACGGTGGGCAGTAACTCATTCAGTGTACATATTGGCATAAATTCTGATATTCATACTGTTGACCAACTTTCAGCTCACCAAATCACATCATGCACGTCCCCATGAGACCACCTGTACTACAGCCACAAATGTTTGTAGAAACTAACAGAGCTGCATGTAAGAACGTAAATGTCTGATGGAGTTAAACAGTCTTTATCAGCTCTCTAATACAAAGTGATGTGCAGTGATTTGCACTGATGGGAGAGAAGCACAGATAATAGTTGAATTTGTGGTTTTCAAGTGGTCATCGTATGTACCTTCTGCTTCTGGCAGCATTCTGGACTAAATGAAGCTGCTTCCAGTAGTGAATTCATCTCCAGCTCTGTGTTTGGGAAAGGGCAACTTGAGACAGTGTCTCTAAATGTTTTGGGGGTTTTTTCCCCTATAGTTCATGTAGCTTTGCAGAATATTGACCCTCTCCTTTCGTGAATTTCTTGTTGTACAGTGCTGCTAATTGTCACATTCGCATAATATCATCTTATCAGGTTTAGAGTTTAGACTTTTAATGTTAATGTACCATGGATGTCATGACCTCATCAGTCTCTTGTTCTCCTCTCCATTCAGTATTAAGGCCATCGAGAGCAATATTAAGGAGGATGACACACAGTGGCTCACCTACTGGGTTGTTTACGGACTCTTCAGCGTTGTTGAGTTCTTCTCTGACATCTTCCTCTTCTGGTTCCCCTTTTACTATGCTGGCAAGGTAGGCTGACATTTTAATATGGTTTTTGTGGTTATATTGTACATTATCACTGTATGCAGCTGACACTGGCCCAAGTCTGCTCACACTGTCATGCCATAGATAGTCATACTGTCTTGAATTACATAAGGGCAGATGGCTTTTCTTTTACAGTAGCCAACACCACCCTCTTGTGGATATTTTGTGTAACTGCTAAATAAAGACTGCACTATGCAGAAATGCTTTTACCAAAAAAAATAATAACAATAATAATATGACATAATGGAAACAAAAAGCCACCATACTGATGAAACACTGTGGTCTTATTGTTATGACGATTTTGGCTCACCTTCATTAAAACACTATGTTTATATTGAAAACCTTAATCCCAGTATACATTTGTTGATTGAACTTCAATCAACAAATGTATAACCCTTCATTATCATTTCATTATATTATATTCATAAAATGTATAGCTCTCCCTTTTATTATAACAGAAAATTTGCTCTTTTTACAGTGTTTGTTCCTCATATGGTGTATGGCTCCAGTAACGTGGAACGGCTCCGAAATCCTGTACAAGCGCGTGATCAGACCATTTTTTCTGAAACACCAGGCCACCATGGAGAGTATGGTCAGCGATCTGAGTGCCAAGGCTAAGAACATAACTGAGACCGTCACAAAGGAGGGTGAGCCCTTCACAGTGTACATGCAAGTACAGCCACGTTTATACTCTGCATGTATCGCAGCAACACATTAATACACCAGACAAACTTGTGCATGACCACACAGTTTCACACTGTCAGAATATATCCTCATATACAGCAGTCTTATATTTTTCATGTATTTTCTATAAAATATTATTGTTTTTTTTTTTCTGTTCTGTTTTGTCCTTCCCTGTATTTTTCATCAGCTGTTAACCGGGCCCTCAACCACGAAAAGGACCAGTAAGAAACATGGGAAAGCTGAGTGACAGGAAATATGTGATTTCACTATTGGATTGTCCTACTCCTCCTTCTATGACACTCTGGTGACTGGTTTCCATCCTCTCTTCACATCATGGAAGTGTCACACTTCTAAAATAAATAAAGCCATTTTTACTTCTACATCAGTTTACTCCTGTTGGTACTGCTAAGGCAATCGGTGAAACTGTGACCTGTTTTGTGAGCTTTTCTTTTTGTTTGTTTTAGTGTGACAAAATATGTTAACATAAAAGAAAAATACAGTTTTATACCTTCAAGTACTCTGTGGGCATGTCGGCAGTGTTGTCTAACTGAGCCACTAGTGACAGAAAACCAAGGTTGAATAACAGTATAGTTATAAAAGCAGGTTACCCTAAGATGTGTTCTTTTTTTCTCTCTTTTTTTTTTTAAATTGACAATCAAAACTGGAACACTTGGGTCATTGATGTCTTCTTGCTTTTACAAGCTTTATTTTTGTTTGTGCAAAGCAGAATTTAAAGCTTGTTATGAAGGTTCTCAGTCTTTAACTTGACTTCTATGTTTTTTGATGTCTTAATTTATCACCTTGTAATGATGAAGCAATAAAACTGGACCCCTGCGTCTGTCTTTACTATCTGTTTCTTTGAGAATCCCTTTTCCAATCACTTCACATAGTGCCAAATGGGATTTTATTTGTTCTGGATTGCAACATTCACGCAACAGTGATTTTTATTTAATTTATTTTTTTTAGCAGAGGTAGTGAATCGAGGAAATTGTGCCACTGGATCTGTACCCGGTGAGGATTTTGGTCTTTACAGCAGTATATATCTTTTTTTAATATAGAATTTTATCTGCAGTAATTTTAAAACTGGCGTATACCTACCTAAGATTTACACATGTTTACCAGTTTCTCATTTGTGTATAATAACTTATAGTGTAATTTCAGATCAGAGGTCACAGGAAATGTTATTTAATGTTTTTATTTTAGGGTTTGTTGCAAGGAAAATACCACTGTCACAGTCTTTTTATTACTTGATCTTTTGACCTGTCCCCTGTAGTACATTTACCAGCTTTCAGATAGCCAAACCACCCACGCAATAATTTGTGTTTTCCTTTTTATTCACGCTTGAGGAGCTCTGAATGGAAGTTCCTTTGTGATTGTGCGCTGGATATAATTCTTTGGAAATGGTGGATGGAGCCAGTGCGGTGGCCACACTCCACCTCAGGGAGAAAGGAAGGAACCCATCTGGAAATGGCTCCTGTGAAGATGTGCCTGTTGGGTGTTTTGTTGTTGTGTAGTCCCTCAGCCGATGGGTTATTGATTTAACAGAAATGGGACCCAGACACCGGTTATTGCACTTTGTTGCTGTGTGGTTTGAGAAAAGGCTTTTTATTGAGTGTGAGGGCTGTAATGGCTTAGGACAGTGGAAGAAGAGCTAAACGGAAGGAGACAAAGCATGTGTTGTACATTCACGAATCTTTCTCAACCACCTTTGTGTTTTCGCAAAAAAATCATAAATGTGAATTATTTGTCACGTAGCTCCACTAGAAGGTTAAAGCTTTCGCTTACTGGTATACTAACTTACTCCTGTTTGCATTGCTGCATGCAGGTAGAAAGTACTAATGAAAATGTGCCATAAATGTCAACATCTTCACACACTTGTAGGCAGGTCTGATTGTTTTGAAGTCTTGTTTTAGTTTTTTGGTTTGGTCTTGTCTTCTGTTTAAACCACCTCCTCCTCCTCCCTGGTGTTTTCCTCATTATCTCCTCTCCCCAATCGATGCTGCTTGAAAGAACCACGCACGTATGGATCTGCTTCTCCCCGCTCTCCCAAAGCATCTGTAGTTCCCCTTCTTACCGACAGAGGGGGACAAAGACAAGACCTTGCAGATGGAGTTGGTGAGTCATACAGCGAGACCGTCACGTACAGACACCACAGCTCAAAACAAGGCTTGGTCTGACTTGGCCTTGGACCTATATTACCGTGAAGTAGATGCTTATTCACACTTAGCTGTGATGTTACCTGACACTGTCAAGCGGATATTGACATGGGTTGATGATTTATTTAGACTTACTGTTATATCGATGCGTGTTTGTCATCACGTCATTCATTTTTCCATTCTCCACGCTCTGGTTAGCTTTGTATTATACACACCAGTCTACTGCATTCATGCGTTCACGGCGCTCTCCACGGTGCTGAAACACAAAGGGGTCTCTGTCCGTGGTGCTGAAACGGCATCGAACACGGGATTTTCTTTTTCATTAAAATCTTTCCGTGTCACTTTAAATATATTTGGTTCCATTACAGCTAGCTCTATAACATCACTGACTTAATATGCCAGCTTCACATACCTTTTCTCTAAGTGATACAGGACTGATTTGGATGTAATCTTTGCATAGCTTATGTTAAATGTTAGCTTATGTTAAGGATTCTTTGTGTCGATGCCAGCCGAATATTAAATGAAAACCCTGGCCTAATAAATCCAGTCTGACATTTTTCATCTTGCAATTTCCATCTCAGGACTTCAGCAGTCTGCAGTTTTTCATTTATGCGGCCCCAAGTCAACGGGAAATGCCACAAGTCTGCCATGGCCCTGGGGATGTCTGAAGGCTACAATATATTTGTCTGTGGCTGAGACGTTTTGAAAGAAATGGGGCCCTTGTTGGTTTATATTTTTGACCATAAATTGCCTTTCACCCATTAACTTAAATATGATTTGTTGCTTAGTGGTCACCAATGAGTCTATTGGTGACCACTCCAGCTATTAAAAATATATTATATGCATTGATCCATATGTATCTCTATGCAGTGATATATTCTTTATTCATATATTTCAGTGCAATTTCTTTCCATTTTGGGGGGCAGGTGGTTGATTACATTTAATCAGATTCCCACACATCCAGCCTTCACAGAATATTTTTAAGAGGAAGACGTTTTAAAAGAACTTATTTTGCTGGCATCCAACCACTAGGAAGTGTATGAACCGAAAGAAAATCAAGTGTGGATAGAAAAGGGAGAGAGCATAGCACCTCCCACGTCCTATGTGCGAGAAAGAGAGAGGGAGAGACTGACAGAGAAAGAAATAGAGAGAGGGAGAGAGAGAGTCTGCTGTGGTGGTGTTGGGAATCGGACGGCATGAGCTCTACATGAAACGAGTAAAATGCTCTAAGACGCTTTCGGCGTTTGTCTTTCATCCTTCCGAACCAAGGACGAGCCAGAAGCGGAGCCGTTCTTCACGATCAGGTATCGAGATGCTCCTCAGCCTCCACATCTTACATAGAGATCAGATGTTGGTATTCAGTGGCGTAACCGCGGTCCTTCTGGCTGGCTGACTGTTATGCGCACACGATTCCTGCTGCTCACGGCCAACCCGGGACAGCAAATCTCACTTTCTGCATCCATCTCGCCGCTGTTGTATCACAAGTTACATTTCTGCTCGCTAACCTCGGTCGTGTCAGTTGCAAACTACTGCCTGTATCCTCGTACAGCCATATTGGCAGTAAGCAGGAGAGGGAGGGCAAATATATGAAGGTATTGGGGTTGTCATATTGCTTTGAGGAGTAAGGGAGGTGAGAGGGAGAGGGTTGGGAGGAGGGGGCTCGCTGCGACTGCGAAATGATGGCAGCACTGCGAGATGGCGATCCTCCGGTATTTATGAATGAACCACGCAGAGTAGGGTGGTCTGTAATGGCGTTGCGCACAAATCTGCGGAACCACGCCAAGCCCTCTCCCGCCACCGCTTCCTGACTACAATCGAGGCGGAGAATGCACGTCAACATTAATGCACATACACTAATGACGCCAGCGTGACGAATAAAGCTCGATTTCTGTGGCAAATGCTACAGTTAATCCTCCATCTGCATTTGTGCTCCCCCCCTGGATCTGTGATCTTAGTTGTGGATTTCAAGACTGGAAAGGAGATCCACCGTGAAATGTAAAGGAGCTGTGAATCATTTAGGTCCCCCGTGCGCCGGCGCGTGGGTGCGTGCTCGCACGCATATATGTGAACTTCCTGTATGAGTTTAACACTGCCAGTCATGATTGTATGTGTGTGTGTGTGTGAGAGAGAGAGATGGAGAGGAGAGCAGAGATGTATGGCAGTAAATCCTGTGAGTAAGCTTTAAAGTGTGTGGTTGAGAGTAGTTAGAGATGCAGACTGCATTAAAGCATTGGAGGAAAAGTGGACATGTAGGGGGAGTGTCCTGCCTGTCTGCCTGCCTGTCTGTCTCTCTTGAATGGCCACGGTTCAGTTGCATAAGAACATGTCTCTCTGCTGAAACAGGACAAAGAAGTGATTCAGTGGTAACAAGCAAAACCAAAGCGAGTTTATGAAGGTGATGATGTTTGAGATGAGTATGGGAGTGGATACTCAGTGGTGATGATGATGATGATAAAGCACCAGTAAAAACATAAGTCTAATGTGAAAAAAAATCCATAAAAACCTAAAAGATCCAGAAACAACTGGATGACAGGAAGGTTGTTAGCTGATAAAATCTGAGTAAAGAAAGTTTATTCAGAAAAAAAAAACCCTCTCTACTACTATTGTGTAATGTTTCATCCATGGACTGGGGCCTGTGTGTGGTTGCTGTGTGCTGGATGGCTGCCATTTGTCAGTGAATGAAACAGTGAGAATTTGAACTAGTTTTTCAGAAAGCATATGTATTCTCAGTGAACAGTTTACAGCTAATTAAAAGATCAATTATGAATCATTTTAGGCATCTTTTTCATCACATTTGAACCCTTCTGTGGTGTCTTAAATTTACCATTTTATGAAATGGTCATTACATGAAACTAGAAAAAATCTATAAAATATAACATTTGAAGCTTCATTGAGAAATCAGCAAGCGACATATTATGAAAGAAAACGTGGCAGCAGAGGCTTTATCTTCACCTGCTCATTTATAGTCTGTCTGTTGCTTTGACAGCACAAGTCTGGTCAAATGCACCATCCCCGCTGAGTACCTCTGAACTATATATGGCATAGTGTCTTCTTTAATATTGGAAAAGATCAATGCTAAAGCATTTTAGCTCTTCTGAAAGCATAAGCTCAGCTAAAAGATTTATATAGTCTTACTTATTAATATCATTAAGCAGAACTGCCTTGTGAGTCTTGTGAGTCTTGTGAATAACTAATCATGGCCCAGAATAGCTGCCATGGTCATTTAAGCACACTGCAACCTGTAGTATAACCAATATTTTGATTACACTTTTTTCTCAGCCTTTCAATGCCATCCATCTTCAACGCTCCTAAAAAGACATATATTTTTCTACAATTTGAGGTTTTAGATGAGGAAAAGTTAAAGGTCAGTTTCTTATAATCTCAACTGCGTCATGTCAGCATCACAAGCAGTCTGGACTGGAAAGCCTGTGTTGTTTCCTCCTTTAACCATCTGCGTTGTTATCAAACCTGGATCAGCTACTTATAAAAAAGAGAAAGAAAAGGGGAAAAAAAACTATGTTCGGTTGATCTTGCCAGTAGAAACCATGGAGCCAATCCAAAACTACCAACCCTGTCACCATCTGTCACTGCAGGCAGGATTCTGCAGCACACTCCACCGGTCTGCAGTTAGTGCTTCAGTCAGGTCAGGGCCTTTACTGTGTCTAAAAATAGTCTTTCTTGAAAAAAATAAACCTGTGCACATTATGGCAGCTTTGAAAACGAGCTTAAGTGTTTTGTCACAGAGTCAGAATCTCAGTTTCTTTATTTTTTCCTCGGCTGAATTGCTGTGCGATTAGCCAGGTGCCTGTGTGTCTCCCAGATTGCCAGGCTGATGTATTAACAGGGTTTTACAAAGAGGCCAGACGGAGCAATCCATGGGTTCCCCCGGTCACACTAATACTCAGCACAAGTAAACACTCAAAGACTAATTACACAGAAATGTGTGTAAAAGTGCTGCATAGCAACAGCATGATTAAGATTACAAATGCTGGTTACAGCTCAGGAATGAATCACCCTGAGAGGGAAACATTTTCCTCTTAAATTCTTTTTAAAAGTGCACATTTAGATATATTAAGGAGAAAGTGCAGGTAGAGGGGTGTTTATGTTAATCACAACCATTACCAAATCAGTCATAGTAGTATGGCAGCTTAAAGGAATGCTTATCATCTCTCAAAATGCAAAGCTCTTTGGCTTATGTGTGAGGCTATCACCATAAAACTGCTATGTGCAATAATCCAGACACTGTAAGTGTATATGTGTTTTCTTAAAACTTCTGAAAAAATATTTTTCATTATTTGTATTTTAAATGTTTCTGTGAAATCTAGGGTTATTTTAATGACCTCTTCTAATGATATTCTGACTTTGGATAGTTAAAGTAGTCATGTTGGTCGGTAATAAAGCATCTGAGCATTTTTATTCCCTTTCCTACTCACTCAGAACAGGTCTGTACAGTGCACCCCACCTTGATGAACTTATGCCAAGGTGAGAAATTTGGGTGCTCTGATGAGTCCTTTTTGAACTACACACAGGCAGACCTTTACAGTTTTGTGGCTGAGCTGATGTTCCCGTGGCTCTATGTTAGTGTCAGTTCACACTGAATCAAAGAGATGCTCCGGGGATATCAGAGGGCCTCAGGGTACGTGTAGTCTTATGCAGAGACTGCTGGTAACTTAAGTCCTGGGAATTGGGTCAATGCAGAGCTGGCCACAAGCACAGAGGAGGTTAAGCTCAATGATTAGCTACTAAGCCAAGACCACAGGGCGTTCAATCTCTTGGACAGTGTAGCACACACGCTCCATGCACGAACGGTGCCGTCTGCCCAGTCACAGTATAGACTGACAGGGGTGATACCTGTAGTCATACATAAATCATTTGCATTGAGTCTAAACTGAACTTTATCAATTACCATCTGTATCATTTGTGATACATGAGTTTTGTGAGTTTTTTTCCCCCCTGAAAAATATGCATAAATTGCACAATAATTTTATAAGCAATAAATTACACAAAGTGCCAAATGTAAGGACATCAACACAAATTAAAATCCACATATATGTCAGACAGTTCAATAACTGTTCAATAACTTGGTTTTGTTTGTTTTTTTTTTTGGGGGGGGGGGGTCAAACAGAAATTTTTGGCAATTATTTCATGGTTCAGGCATTACGGGGTTAAAACAAATTTTCACTTAAACAGTAAAAGTTTTTTACAACCACATACTTTCATACGGGGAACTACTTACTTGCTTTCCTGACAAGAACTAGATAGGAACATTAATGCCAAACTTAGAAGTGTCCATTGAATATAAAACTGGAGCCAGGAGGCAGTTCATTTAAAACAAAGCCTACAAGCAGAGAAAACTGCAAGCCTGGCTTTTGCCGGAGGTCACAAAATTTACTATGTTTGCGTAAATTGCACAAAAACTACGTAAGCCTTTTTTTCTTGGCTTGGCCAAATAACTCTCCAAACTTAGATGGAGTCAGGCTAACTGTCTTCTCTCATTTTCAGTCTTTGTGCTGAGCAAACTGGCTTCTGGCTGTAGCTTACCCTGAGAAAGGTATTGTTATTTTCATCTAACTCTCAACAGCTAATATCAGAATTCTCCAACCTAGTCTCCTAACTTCAAAAATGCACCGTCATCTAACTAAAGTGGCCTTTTTTCATCCAACAGAATCAGAAGAATCAGTGTTTGGATTCACTGGAAGGACAGTAGCTGTATCAGGGGATAATAATCCAGAAAGTAAATAGAGAAAACTGCATATTCTTAATTCTGTGCAAAGCACCACACATAATATTTTAACTTCTATGGATGCCCTGTCTGTGCGTCATCATACTCCAACAGACGCACACACGGACAGTAAAGGTGACAAAAATATGCAGCTTCGTCAGTCTCTTTTTAGGAAACTTATGGAGATGAGTTTTCACATTCAAGAGCTGTAAATGAAATCCAACAGAGACTCTAAGATAAACACATTTTGCAGGCTTTCCATGTGTGTGTTTTAGCAGGTGTGAGTGTGGCGAAGCAGAAGCGGCGACGGCGTGCCTGAATGTGTGAGACTGAATCAAAATTTATAAATCGAACCTCTACTGTCTGCTCAAACCTAATGAAAACACCCGTGTCTAAAAATTGCCTCGCCAAGAGCACAGATTACATCCCGTGGCAAAACACACACATACATACACACTTTTGAAAAGACCTGAGCTGATGTGTGCACCGAGAACAGGGAATCTTCTGCTTCACTGCACAGAGGCAGACACACATGACGCACACACGCATTCATACAGCAACTGACAGGCTGAGAGCTTAAGAAACTTTGTGTAGGTTTCACTGTGGCCAGAAAAAGACAAAATATTTCAGGCTGATAATCTGTTGATCCTGTAAAACACTCATTGCCAAATAGCGGTGTATTCTCAGCATTCCACTATGCACAGCCTGATTAAAATCCTTTCTCTACAAGATACCATGGGACCGCTTTGTGGGTGTCTATTTAATCACGCTCTTGATCTGTTGAATGGCATTGTGTTTGATGTTGGTTAATGCGCTTCCTTTGTGCCGCTGCATAAGTGGCTCTCTTGAGGGAAATTATGTGCATATTTTTGTTAAAGGTGACATTTCCTTGCTCGCTCTGTGAAATAAACGAGTGGAGAAGGCTGCGTTGCAGCTATTTTCTGGCGGAGAAGAGCAGAGGCCTCCTTGGTCTGTGCCAAATGCTATCTGCTAATGGAGTTTGGCTGCACTGATGCAGATGCATTTATAGTATACCATTAATTCATTAAAGAACTGCAGTCCTCTCATTTCAAATAAAACCAGAGAAGAGGATGGGGGAAAGGAGAGAGACTACTTGCGTTTGGGAAGAGTGTCATAAATCTCAAAAGCCTGGTATCAAGGACAAATGGTGAAGGAGCAGAAGTACAGTATGTGTGCCACTGTGAGGTTGCACCTGTGTGTGTAGTTATAGTTGCTGACAGAGGGAGGGAGAGAGATAATTATAGCTCAGGTGAAAAGTGGGGGAGGTTTTGATGAGCAGGATCTTTGTCACAGAGCTAAAATCCACATCCAAAGAAACCAAACAGACACCAACCGCGGCAGGACAACAGACTGACGGGGCCCAAAGAGACTGGGCCCCATCGATTAAAACCGGAGCGGCTTTAGTTTATTGATCAAACACCATGGAGACCTGGGGAGTGACAGATCAGCAAGAGGAAGTTTAGGTAGCAGCTCAAAGAAAGGCTAAAGTTGCGGATAAGTAAAGAGAATATTTAAGAGTTTATCAGAGCATGCATGTATCAGATGCACTGATATATCAGCTTCAAATCAAAGACATCATACCAGTCTGTGTGGCTTTGTCTAGATAGGTGGCTGAGTGTGGATCTTTGTGGATTTTTGTGATGGTGTTTGCTGCAGTATTTCATTAAAACTAGATCTGGTTTATTACCAGAAACTAGTAACTTGGGTCCTATTTTTGCAGCAGTCACCATATTTTCTCCCTGTAATAATAATACTATACTCTTCACGTTGCTGAGCTCTAGAAACACTGCTGCACTAACCAAACTGTATACTTTGATTATCATTCCACAGTTTGCAGATGACTCCTTGGTTCTGTATTTAAATGGCATTTCCGACTCACTGTGAGATTAGCTCTATGTAACGTGTTTGAGTTAAACCGTTGGGGTGTTTTCTGTTTCGGGCCTCTTGGAGGCAGCAAAACAAAATGAAAACAAAGCAAAGTCAAATGCAAGTCAAATATTTACACTGTTTTTGTTTTGGTCTCTACCAGCTCCAGAGGGAAATATCAGATTCCCCCAGGAGCTAAATGCTCCACTGTGTTCACCAGATAGGTGCGAACATTGTCAGTCTGCCATTTGGTGCCTGCTGCCACCACATACTGCACAGATTAGAGCAGGAAGCCAGACTGTACTGCAACACTCATGCCAGTTTTACATAATGAGTTAAAAGATAGATGAAGATGCTAAAATGCTTTGCAGATCTGAGATGGACTGCAGAGTTGTGTGTTGTATAAACAGCCATTTTAACCACCAGTAGGAGAAATATAAACTGTAGCAGCTTTAAAGACGGCAGCATTGTCTCAAGAATTAACTGTAATAAACAATTAATCCTCTCTAGATGCCAAATTACATCCAAGAAGGCCAAAATAAATTCACTTAGAAATTGGCTTTTTAAACTATGTTGAGGCATCATTCCTGCTTAGGTGTGTGTCTGTAATTAAGCAGGTTATGCAAAAATCACTGTGCAGCTTTGACAGCTACATGGCAATTTTTAAAGTGTTACCTTTTTTTCATCACTGACTGCCTCATTAAAGCTAAGAGTAAGGCACTGTAGATGACTATTGTTTCTGGCAATTTTACAGCAGCGCCTTGTAGTTATGTTGCACTTAAGAGTTGTAAAGGTTAACATGACCCTCACTGCACATGTTTTCATTACCGCAGCCACGGTCTGAAAGAGAAATACGACAGACTTGAAGTCCCAAGAGGTTAAACTTCAGTCATGCATCCCTCTATCTAAAAAATGCAGTTTCAAGTTTATCACCCTTCTGAAGTATCAAGAGAGCCATTAGGGAAGATTTTCTGCTTCTTCCAGACCCGAGTAAAACAGTAGCCACAGGCTCACCTGAAAATTAAACTGTGGTGGTGTTCTCAGCAAGCTATGAAGCAGTCTTATACATCACACATGCTTACAGCTGAGAGACGGTCTATAAAATTCAAGAGGCACTCCCCAAATCCTCATTTATTTCAAACTCGTGGACTGATATTATCTAGAACCCAGCAAAGCAATTACAGGCACCCTGCCATCAATAGTGGGTTCCTGCAGTGCAAGCATGACAGAAATCCACTTATTCCATATGGTATTGATGTCGATTTACTGTTTTCATTATGACTGCAGCTTAGAGAGCAGCATGATCACAGCTGATAGAATATCTTATTACGGAACATTAAAGCACGTTTAGCACCAAAGCGGATAAATAATGCAACAGATACGATGTGCAATCATGTGCAGACAGCGCAAGCTCTCACAAAGATAGTAGTAGATTCTGTGCGAGAACATTGTTTAGATGCATATGCATGAGCTGCAGCAGGTAATGTTAGGAGTGATTAATTGTAGAGTCTTTCACAGCGCTGTGCTGCTGCTGTCTACAAACTGGGCTTTTTCAGTTAGTTGTGTTCATTTGCATGTTATCTTTATTACCTGATATATATAATCTGATATCACACAGTGTGGATTTAGCATTTTTAGTTTGATGACCGAGGATGAAATCTGCTGTGAATTATGCAATGCAACACTTTCTTTAAAGCCCTGAGCTTTGTGTTGTTTTGTAAAGCAAACACTAAACCTGGACTCTTTTCAAATTTTTAATACCAATAAAACAACCTAACAAGCACTGGCCACTTGCAGCAGCAAAGCTGCAAATGTAACACTGACAGGTGTAACGCTGAAGCCAGTTTGGCGTGAATCAGTGTGCCTTTGTGATGTGTTTAGCCAACTGGTGAATTCAAATCCAATAGTCCATCTATTTTCTCAAATAGATTTCTGTGTTTACCCTTCACACACAACTGGACAACTGGTTTTCATCTTTTTACTTTTAATTCAATTCACTTGTATTTGTACAGCACCAAATCACAACAACAGTTGCCTCGAGCTGCTTAATTTGTAAGGTAGACCCTATGATGGCTTTAGTTGCTCTGACTCACTCTGTTTGGATCCATATTAGTGGTAGGCACAGTGATCGGTGTTAGCCATGCGCAGTGTTTTGTTCTTTGAGGCTTCTATGTTGGCTTGATGATTAATTAGAAAATGCGGGATTGTTTTTGGGGCTGAAACTGAAGAACCGTGACTATGCGAAGGGTATTGATTAGGGAAATGTCTGCATGAGGTGAAACACTTGGATCATCACCAAACTCATCTTCTCTAATTTGTATTCTGGCTCATAGTCAGACCACGAAAGATGGAGTGTTTTAAAACCCACTGGCCTGAGGTTAAGTTCTGCCAGCATATACTCCTCTTGTTCTGCTTCATTAAACAAAAGCTCCAGATTTTCTCTTAGAATCTTATCTTCTCATGTTCCCTTTCCTAATCTCACAGGTGTAAGACTATCTTAAACCCGAGGGGACAGAATGCCAGAACAGAGCAACGACTATCGTGTGGTGGTGTTCGGTGCTGGGGGAGTGGGGAAGAGCTCCCTGGTTCTGCGCTTTGTGAAAGGCACATTCAGGGACACCTACATCCCCACGGTGGAGGACACCTATCGCCAGGTGATCAGCTGTGACAAGAGCGTGTGCACCCTCCAGATCACAGACACAACAGGCAGTCACCAGTTCCCTGCCATGCAGCGCCTTTCCATCTCTAAAGGCCACGCCTTCATCCTGGTCTACTCGATCACAAGCAGACAGTCCCTGGAGGAGCTCAAACCCATTTACCAACAGGTGAGGAGTGTTTGTGTGTCTTTGGATGGCTAAGCTTGTTTAATCGCGCTGGGCTTTTATACTGAAACGTTTTTCTGCATTGTACTAAATATAAAGAGCAAAAGTAAAGATGCTGTCTGGGGTAATCTGTATTGCATTAGTTCCTCAACTTTGTCACTGGTGATGTCTAAACCACAAACACTTTCATTTGTAATGATGTATTCTCTTTGGGTGCTAAAACGACAAGCAAAATTCCCAGAAAATAACAAATCAAATCCATTTGCTTGCCTTTGCAGGTCCTGGCTATAAAGGGCAATGTTGAGGCTATCCCAATCATGCTTGTGGGAAATAAAAGTGATGAGACCCAGCGAGAGGTGGAAACCAAGGACGGAGAGGCCCAGGCCAACCAGTGGAAGTGCGCCTTCATGGAGACATCAGCTAAGACCAACCACAACGTAACCGAGCTCTTTCAAGAGCTGCTCAACCTGGACAAGAAGAGGAACATGAGCCTCAACATCGACGGCAAGCGCTCTGGGAAGCAATCCCGTGCCGAGAGACTGAAGGGCAAATGCAGCGTGATGTAAAATCCAAGAGAGGAAAGGAAAGGGAGGTGGAGGAGAGAGAGGGAGATGAAATACGGAGAAGTAAAGAAGGAGGACGCCAGACACCAAACGCATCATACAGAGCAACAAGGTTTTTGACGGCAGCGGGGTTCTCATCATCGACACGCTCCTCACAAACACAACTTACATACAGGAAACGTTTCAGTTCGGAGCATAAATCCATGCACATCCTTAACGGGGAAACAGGTGAGTGGGATTGAGATGACAAGTAGTGTGTGACACAGATGAATACAGAAATGGCAGGGGTGTGGACTTTGTATCCTCCAAGTGTCACAAAAACCTGGATGGAGCACTCTTCGAGAACTTGGGTGAGAGTACTGACCACGAAGACCAGAAGTCCATAAAAACGCAAAAGGTTTCTGATCAGTGCAAAATCTTAGATATCTTCTCTCACTTCTGCACCTCCCTGCTCAGCTCACACTTCACCCTTCTCATCTTTTTCATAACCTCTATTATATCGACTGTAGAGAAATGTAATGTACAAGTAAGCGAGTTCCAAAGCTCACTCATCTGGTAGAGACCCTGTTGTAAGTGACTGAGGTGTCTATCATGCTAGTACAAAGAGGACTCAAAAGTTTGACACTGCTAGCATGAAGCATCACAGCAAAAAAACAGATCACCCAGCCACACCCCCAAGGACTTTGATGTATATAAATATGGGATATTTAGATATATTCCATCCAGTCTGCACATCCTCAGCCCCAACTAGTATATGATGTTGACTCAAGTTTGATGCTCTGAAGCTCAATTTTCAATTGCCATCGTCATATAAAAACACTTCTTTGCGCTTATCCCCCAAATGCTTATGGTAAAAGGTCATCTATGAACCCTCGAAATGTCCTCATCTGATGTGGAGAAACATCCAGCGGCAGGGGCTTCACGCATGCCATTGATACGACGCAACAATCCTTTTAAGACTCTCATCAAGTGTAGAATAACTCTGGCTGAAAGGAAGCTGGACTCTCATTAAAACATGAAACAGAAATACGAGTCTGCCTTGCCTACGAGGTTAATACACTTAGATAATCATTGCCAAGCTGGTAAGATGAAAGAGAACTTTTGGTTCTGAGGATGTCAGTTTGCTTTGGCACTTTTCATGTGAGAGTTTCTCTTTTTGCCTTTTTTTTTTCTAGTTTTCTTTATGATGCTCTTATAAAGTTACATTTAAACACATCTTCTTTAACAAAAAGCACACAGGGGAGAAAAGGAGGAGGGTGGATCTTTAAAGCTCCATGCAGATTGTCCAGTGCACCCTGATGCATCTCCGTACACTCATCACCTGTAACTCCAGGCATCAGGAAACAGAATGGGTCACAGAGATGTGCAGACACAACACGCACATGATGCATCCATGCAAAAAGAAAAGAAACACACACACATTTAGCTCTCTGATAGTCAATCTGAGTAACATCGTTGACTGAGTACATGAAGAAGAACAGGGCTCACTCAGCCTAAATGCCCTCACATTGCACTTTATATCACCATACACAATTTTATTTGCCATGTTTCCACCTACATGTGTATTAATAATTATCTCTGTTGTGCTGTATGTCCAAAGTGCATATATATATATATATATTTAATATATATACCCTTTTTTTCATGTAGGACCTCTAAAATTGTACACAGTGTATACAGAGCAGCCAAAAGCACAATACTTTTTTCCAACATATCTAATTCTATTTTTTTTGTTTGTTCTTTTATTGTATTTGTGTGCAGTTTCCATCCTTAGCTTTCATTCAACAGTCCTGAACATGGATTTGCATAGGTAGCATGGTCACAGGTAGCTCTCTGTCTTGATGTATGGCGCTTTATTTTGTCTGGTTCTTGGCACAATGAGGTTGTGGTTCTGCTGAACAACAGGGTATCGTGATGTGACCGGTTAGCTGTGGACACAAAGAGCGTAAACGTTATGTAACATCAACCCCCACACCACCCCCACAGGATCACAGGTTGTGGGACGACGATGAGGGGTCAGATTATTTGTCTGCTTTTCTCCATCTCTCAGGCGGTTTTGACAACAATTAGCGTGGCGGATAATCTGCTCCTGTACTGTTAAACCCAAAGACACAGATGATAACCCCTTTTAACTGTGTGTTCATTTCTCAAGAAAAAAGGAAGAAAAAAGAGAATAAGCACAGCAACTAGTCTCGTCTGTCTCCTTCTCTGTCTTTATGTGTGCAGCAGGATCAACAACTGGGCACTTTAGGGTAACATTTAACTTGAAGACTTGCTTATTAATCAGCGACGCCTCATTCATAAGCACCGTGTAAAATGTCCTACCTTTATCATTCATGCCCACAAACCACTATAAAATGATTTCAGACGTGTAGATAAGCAGATGGAAATTCAGCGAAATGTTCACAAGAGCTTCAAGTAAGATGTTACCCATGTAAAGAAATACTGTACCCACTGTCTTTCTGGGAAATGTTGTTACAGTAGAAGGTTTGGTGTTGCTATGTACTGTAATATACGGCTTAATAACGATACTCATGATCTATTGTATTTGACGCATCCACTCTTCAGATCTATCAATCAGATAGCACTAGCAAAATGTGAATATGTAACTAAAAGTTCCACTCCAGGCTGTAATTTTGTTTTTCTGTTTATTTTGAAAGCTGAATGAATCTGTTGTTATTACTGTGTTGTACTTTGCACTAATGTGAGGTCCTGTTAAACCCAAACATTTATATTGTAAACATACCCTTTACTTGTTAGATGCCAGGGATGCTCACTTGTACTCTCTTATTTTCTTTTTTGAAAATCTGTTTAAATTCCAAAAACAAGATGTGTAAAACAGATATATAAGTTGTATTTTAATCACTTTCTTTTCTTTCTTTCTTTTTTATTAATTCATTTATTTTTAACCTGCTCTATATAGATAGAGTGCAATCTACGGGTTGTGGCCATTTGACGAGCTAAAATTTGAAAAAGAAAACCTTAAAAATCGCCTGCAATGACTTTCAGACCGAGTTCTTTTCTGGTCTGACGCAAAGCCACCGGCAGTGGTGCACACGCTGCATAGATATCAGCTTGACACGTCTGGTTGCCAGATTGTGTGCGCATGTTTGTGCAAACTGCTGTTCTGCTGACGTTAACAGGAGACTGTCATTGTTCATGTTCCTGCATGGAATATGATACAACAGGGAAGGAAAAACAACAATGAGGCAGCGTGAGAGAGCACTATGGACAACAGGGGCCTGTGCTATTAATAGACATAGAGCAAATATATGAAGTTCAACTGCACTAGCCGTGGCCTGTATAAGAATCGTTCGAGCTTTCATGTGGGAGCCGTTGAAAGAAGACGTTGTGCTTGTGGAGTGTGTGAGCTATTGAGTTTGTGGATTGTGTGAGTTAAGTGCTCGCAAGAATCAGGACAGACACTTCTGCCCCTGTCCCTCCATGGCGTGTCTCATCTCATTTATCCATGAACCATATTCCCTGTTCTGTGTGTTTAACCGGGAGTGCATTCATGTACATGCACATTCATCCACCTTATTTATATATATTGTTTTCACGTTAATTCACTCCGGCCTGCACGGGTGTGTATGTGCGCGTGCTTGTGTTGTTGCTGCTGTTGTACAATCTCATGAAGTGTCTGTCAGATGTTTGCAGCTTTCCCGTGGAGAGTGCCTACACATTCTGCATGAGTCATCCTGCACAACACACACCCCCTATACGCACACACACTAGTATATAAATCAGGCATGGAGCTGAAATAGAATGACTGCATGCCCTCGGTTGCACACACACACACATACACACATATTACATTCACACAGGCCTTGTCAGTGAAACATCATTTGCTCTCTGGCTGTTTTCCGCTGTTGTACCTCTGTTAGCGTTACTTCTGCATAAATCCGCATAAATTGTGAGCCGTTTTCATATTCATTCTGTGTGTTTTTGCTTGCCGTTTGCACTTACTGAAAACCAACCCTCCTCGCATCTGATTGTAGATAGCTGTAAATATTGTTCAAAGGTTTCAGAGAAGCGAAGGGAGAGCGTGCAGATAAAGGATGCCGTGGTGGGAGCGCGCAGTCTCCTGCGCATTCTTTGTATAGTCAAAACCTCCAATCAGAAGTAGGACAGTTAAAGTTTTCTTCACGTGAAAGCTTTACGTTGGGCTTTTTTTTTTTTTTGTATGCTGTAGCAAGAGAAGCACTGGCTTTAAAGGAGGAACTCTATGGAGACCAGCTATGTTAAAGGTGACTAAATGATAAGTTATAAAATGAATAATCATACGACTGGATGCAGAAAGATGTAATTGAACCATGAAATTGTGGAACTTGGTGGATATTTTAAATTTAGAATAATTTTTGCAATTCCACACTCTTCTTTAATTAAAAAATGCTGCAGGTATTTTCATTAAAATGTTGCTTGTACGATGATATTTTCATGGTTAAATTACACATTTAGTCTTAATATTGTTGGTATGATTACTTATTTTATGACATCAAATATACTTATTGCCTAGTAACAGCTATAGTTTGGGCCTCCATAGATAACTACATTGGTGGCACAGATTTTTGTGTAGGACCAGGTAAAGTTTACTTGAGTTGTTTGCCACCAGTGAGGTCACAGGGTACTTTCTGTTCATCTTGCTGAGGAGTCTCATACAATAAAGGGAGTGGGGTTCGGATTTGTTCTTCTGTGGCTGCAAGGGAAACCTCAGACCATGTGAAGCTTAGAGAACGAGCACTAAGTTAAACCTTTATACTCAAGAAAAGCTGTGGTTTTCTGACACACCAGGCTTTTTGTTACCAGCGAGGGGCAGGTTGTGCTCCTGTCCAGCAGGGCTTCATGTCACAGGAGCTAAAGGAAATCGGTACCGGAGGATCAAAATACAAAAGAACTCCCACTCTTCCTGCCAATCACTCAGGCTCACCCCTTTACATTTCATCTGATTGCCTCAGATCCTAATGAGCAGTATACGGCGGGGAATTTAGCCTAGACTTTGTGGGTAACGTAGTTTGGTACTATCGAGTCGCTCTGGCCCTTCATTCCTGCATGGTCCCTATTGGTGTTCCAGCCAGCATGAGAACAAGGACACAAACTGTGAATCATCTTTGTATTTTTAAAATAAATTCCTCTGCAACATTTATGG